AAAAAAAAAAAAAAAAAAAAAAAAAAAAAAAAAAAAAAAAAAAAAAAACTAGATATGATTTATACGAAAAAAAAGTTATCATTTATCAAGATTTTTATGTCATTAAAATAAGTTTTTTTTATTTTTAACTTTAGATTTTTTAAAATTAAAGTGGTTCTTGCTTTATTATCTACTTTTAAAAAATTGATTATTTTTTACAAAATTTAGCTCAACTTTAAAAAAAAATTGTAAAGAAAAAAAAAACATAAATTTCAAAAACTTCAAAAATAAAAAATATGCCAAACATGCGTTAATAATTAAACCATTAATACAAAAAAGAAATAGAGGGAGAGTTCATTAAAACGCCTCAATAAACTATACTTTTAAACTAATAATTTTATCAAGTTGTCTCGTAAAAATGTGACTTTAATAGTGTATTAATTTCGGGAGATGTCCCTAACACCCTATAAAATAACCATACATAGCACCATAATTTCCTATTACACATTATTTACTCACTCAAAAAGTCATTACACCTATAACACTCGAGGAACTTTAAAGGAATTAGTAGGGGAATAAATGTGCAATAACACATATCTAACAAACGAACTCCTTGTATCAATCAGGTTACCTTCACATTATTTGACGAGTCCGAACGAAACCAAAAGTTAACGAGAAAGGAGTCGATGATAATCTACAAATAAGCATACTTTCGTGTCAATTGAACTGATAAGGGAACTATGATGAGATAATTGAAGGGGTAAGTCTAAGAAACCTGGATTATATGTGCTGCCACGCATGGAAGAACCAGCAAACCGGATACGCCAAGCGCGCCGTGGAGCTGTTCTACGACTGCCACCATCACAGGCAGAGTTTTCTGCAAAGAATGTGGGTGTTTGAGCTCTATGATATTGTATATCATTCATGAATGAACAAGTGTTTGATAAGCGTTAGATACGTTCTTAATTTGTTCGATTAAGACTAACAGGTCTAGTATATTTGACAAGTGTTCAACATATATTCAGGAGCGTCTAGAACATGTTGAACATATTATCTACGCTAAAGTGTTCGAGCTATAAATCTCCACAACCATGCACACAAAAAGGTACTCGTGTACGTCTGTGACTGATTTCTCATATCTTTGCAATAACGTGTTGTTTGGACCTCGTTTGGTAATCATTTGGACTTTGATTTTTGGTTTTTGAAAATTAGGTTGGTAAACACTACTTCCAACTACTTTATATAGGTTTCTTTGTTTTGTTATCTACGTACCTGACTTGCCACAAGAACAACGGCGCTGACATTTCGTCTCCTCGAGAAAACAGATTCGTCGCCACCAGAAATGGCTGCTAGGATTCGTACACCAAGAGCATTAAAGGCTAATAAGGCAAGATGCAAGAATCTGAAAATACAACAGTCGATTAGTCTTTAGTGGCATTAATCTAAAAGAAAAGGGTGATTGATCAGTGAATTCAAAGCTTTATTAGGCAAGGATAAGGAAACTAGGAAGGGTTTCTGGTAGCATACGTTCCCATTCCTATGGCTACAAGAAATACTTCAGGCTTGACCATCAGAAGTAGCGACCTTGATCTGCTCACTTGCATCCATGGCACCTAATTTTAAAATGTTATAATCTGATTAAAGAGCATAAATTAACGATCTCATAAAATAAAAATATTAACACTCTTCTATCGAACCCCACTCGTCCAAGTAGAACCTGAGAATTATTTGTTATCAACATGTCTACCCCCATTATACTAAGCAATTATTTTACTTTCTAGAAGAACTGGACGTAAAATGTAAGGAATCAGAAATTACTATTAAACATTTAATAGTTACATATAGACAAATATGGTATTAGGGAGAAACAGTACTCGATCAATCATGAAGTGAAACAACAATAGTGACGATGATAATGAATTAGTGTCTCACAAGACTGAGAAGAATTGCATTGATCCTTGGAAAAAGTTTACGATTTCCATCAACAAAGTCCGCCACTCCTAAAAGATTAAGAAGAGAAACAATAACTTAGCAGGAACTTAAAGAAAATTTGTCCTATAAAAATTAAGAACATTCTGAGGTTAAACACTAAAGATGATGAGCAACCATTGCAAACAGTTTCTGCTAAATGAAGTCCGTGCACTTCATGAAAGCTAGCAAAGAAGCAAACTTGAACTCAAGAAAGTGAATGATACTGACAAGAAATCACCTTTGAATGACTCTCTCAAGATCTGTCGAAGGAAAAAGAAAAAGATAGAAGGAACAAATAAATAATAGATCTATTTGATAGCAAAGAGGACAAAAAAAGTGGCATAAACATATTTCAAAAACTAGCTGTACGCAAGGTCTATTTCATGGTAAACCAAAGAATTTTCTGCAATATGACAACTTAAAGTAAAGCTTTTAGGAAAAAGAAACCAGAAGTGGAGGGTAGGGAGAAAATAGGAAATCGTCTTTAAAACTGAGTCGGTTTTATTTATTTATTTTTTATAAAAAAAACCAATATAATGCCCCTTTTAAGGATAATAAGTAACTAAATTGTAAGCAACTCCTTTACATGACAAAGCCAAGTTGATAATCTAGAGTTTGCTTCTGCAATTGGAGGTTGAAGCCTCGTGCAATTACATTAGCCTAAGATGAAATTTTCCTGTCAAGACAAATAAGTAGCAGTAACTTATGTATATAAAAATGTATATTCATGGTTAGAAAGCTCAGTAAATTACATCAACTTTATCACAATCTGCTACACACGCATCCCTACCATCCATTTATTAACAATAATAGCTTGTAATAAAGAGATATAATGTGCTTTTAGACAAACTTCTTCGAATAGATTCTCCAAAGAAAATAGAGAGCACGAGTTTAAGCCATGGCGGTTATCTACCTAGTATTTAATATTCTAGGAGTTACCTTGCAAATTAGTAAGGTCAGACCATTGTCTCATGAGAATAGTTGAGGTGCAAACATGTTCGGCCCAGATAGTCACATATATTAAAAAAAAAAAAAAAAAAAAAAAAAAAAAAAACAAAGATTCTCGAAAAAAATAGCAGTTCACCTTCCCAAAAATGAGAGGAATTAGCAGCATAAGAACAAGACTTCTGAGTAACTCCTTCGTTGGCACAGTGATACCAACTCCATCAGCTATAAATTTCGAGATGGAAAATGGAATCTAGAATGCCAAAAAAAAAAAAAAAAAAAACAAAGATTCTCGAAAAAAATAGCAGTTCACCTTCCCAAAAATGAGAGGAATTAGCAGCATAAGAACAAGACTTCTGAGTAACTCCTTCGTTGGCACAGTGATACCAACTCCATCAGCTATAAATTTCGAGATGGAAAATGGAATCTAGAATGCCAAAAAAAAAAAAAAAAAAAACAAAGATTCTCGAAAAAAATAGCAGTTCACCTTCCCAAAAATGAGAGGAATTAGCAGCATAAGAACAAGACTTCTGAGTAACTCCTTCGTTGGCACAGTGATACCAACTCCATCAGCTATAAATTTCGAGATGGAAAATGGAATCTAGAATGCCAAAAAAAAAAAAAAAAAAAACAAAGATTCTCGAAAAAAATAGCAGTTCACCTTCCCAAAAATGAGAGGAATTAGCAGCATAAGAACAAGACTTCTGAGTAACTCCTTCGTTGGCACAGTGATACCAACTCCATCAGCTATAAATTTCGAGATGGAAAATGGAATCTAGAATGCCAAAAAAAAAAAAAAAAAAAAGCATATGAAAGTCATGATAGCAGTAATGTAACAATTAAGGAGATGAACAGATTATCTTTTATGTCACGGAATAAAAGAGAAAAACACCAGAAAATACGTGTCAACTCCCTCCGGCTTATGTACCCTTTTCATGTGTGTAAGAATGTCGTGAAAGTAGCTCTATGGGAAAGGAAAGGAAAGGAAAGGAAAGGAAAAAAAAAGGTGGCTGGAAAAAAGTGGTAGAGGGGATTTTTGGATGTATGGGAGTCTACTATTTCTTATAAAATAAGAATAATAAAAATAATAATAGTAATAAAGCATTGGCTTTTCTGTTGGATAGAGTCCTTAAATAGAACTGATTCAAATACTAGACATATGGTTAATGATCTCTTCACAAAGGGTGATTGGGCTGAATTCTGCGAAATCAAATCTTGTTTCCCCTTACAACCTAATCCTGTGTACAGAAGCATGTATGGAGCAATCCTCAACATTTAAGAAATGATTATGAGAGACCTCCATTCACAGGGACGGTATGATTTTAAACATCATGCAGTCGCTGACATGTGAAGCATAATTATAACTTATCAGAGACTGGCATACACAATTGATCAAAGTTAGGTACCCTGTAATTATGTTTTGGTACAAGGGCATCCACCATGAATGCAGATTATACTCGAACCAAAAATTATCATATAAAGGACCACTATAGGTGATTAAAAACTGCAAAAGACCATGCTTTTAGAGTTGTACACTTCTTTGAAAATGATTCCAGAAAAATAGCATTGAAAGTGGATTTAGAAAATTAGTACAGTCATTTTTCTAAGTTAATGCCGTTCTTTTCGTTCTTAGATAGAATAAACAAAACGAAGGATATATCTTCAACTTACAGCCAGTATTCCCAACATATTTGATATCACTGTCATTGCCAGAGCAAGTGCAGAATTTCCACCGGCAAGCTGAGTTTGAAAAGCATATAAATGCAATAAGAACAGAGAGTATTGAACATCTCTTTTTCTGGGGGGGATGTAACTTTTGTACCTGTGTTAGTGCCACGCCACTTGATAATGTAGTAGGCATGCAGGTAAATATTGCTAATCCTATAAACAGTGAAAAACAATGGGTTAGATGGTTTGTTTAAACAAAAGCGGGTTTCTAACTCAAAAAAGAAAGAGAGTAAACCATAAAAGAATTCATGCAAGAGTTACATACTAATCCATATCGAGACCAAACCATATGTATGAAATTGAGTTTCTTATCTAAAAAATGATTCCAAATTGCCTCCTTGATATTTGCAATTTTATGTCAAATCAGTGTGTAATTTCTTAGAGTTCCACATCAAATAAGAAGCATTAAGCTTATGGTAGATCTCAAGTAATTTGAATTTGTACCTTGTTCTCAATGATCATTTCCTATTATAATAGCATCAATTTGAAGCAATACTAGAGTGCATTTGCTGCCGGATAAAGGACAAGGAAGACGATCTCTAACCTAAGAAGAGATGATATACCAACAGTGATTACAAAAACAAAAATCCTCATAAAATTGTTAACCTGATGCATTTTCTATCTGGGAAAATTAGGCCACTTGTGTTAATGAGTATATTTTGAATAAGCAACTGATTTTTCAATTAACCATGCAAACAGTTCATTGAGGTTGGTTAAGGCTAACTGGACTACTAAGTATAGTAAATACTAGGAAGCACATATGGCCACTACACAAACCTTTATTAGACCAAACTCTAGATAAGACTATGATAACCAATTTCAAATTTGTCTTACACCGACATACTCTCAATTTAACATTGCATGTGATAGTTCTAATTTTTCTTTTCTAAATACAAAACAAATCATAGTTTCGGAGTATTATGCTTACATCATGAAGCTAGCAACTTCAATTTTCAGGTGAAGATAGAAAGAAAATCCAAATGGTTACCCAGTCCTTAATTGGATAACGGTCTGATGACAAGATGTCTAACTTGTCATTCAATGGCTAAAAGTATAAACAAACCTGTTACAAATTCTTGAGGTTGAAGATGAATTTGTAATATCAGCCTGGAAAAGTATGGAGTAAGCAAAAGAATCGAAGCCTGACAATATACAATAGAGGGAACGTAAATACAAGCTAAACCAAATATACCAAAACTGATACAACAATAGTGCAAATCATACCCATGAATTAAATACGCCAAAAACCTACCCTTGTGCAAGGTTATTCAGTTTATTTGCAAAAGAAACTAGGACAAATAAACATCTTTTATTACGATTAAGAGGAACCATCCCAAATACACCAAGATCCATTCGAGCCATTTCTTAGTGACAAGTTCCACAATATTCTCTTTGATCCCTCATTTATGCCAAAACACGAGATCAGTGAGTACTAAAAGAGTAACCATCACACCCCACCCCCAACGGCCAACACAAAGAAAAAAATCCTCTGTTACCCTAACATCCATCCAACCTCATTGTAGAAAGCCCCTTCAAACTAGTCAGTGTCTAAAATCAGGATGAACAAATAAAAGTCTAGGAGATAAGAAATCACGTAACATGAATCACATTATCAACTCAAATACATGAGCATTAGAAAAGAATGAAACAGATAACAAATTGAATTTTTACAGGTGCGGGAAGGAACTTCGCCAATAATAGAAAAATAGGTTCTATATATATATATATATAATAACATAATTAGAAATATTGAGAACATACGAATGCGTTCAAAGAATGAACTTACAAGCTAAAAAAATACAATGGAAGATTATAAGTCAGAATCATACAAGCCCATAGACTGCAACAGGCCATGCCTCCACTGAAGCACTAACTTCTGAAGTACGCAATGTCAACCCTGCATAATCACATCATAAATCAAATAACGGATTACAGTTCAAAATGTACAGTTTATGTGGATAGTAAGTAACAATTCCTAACCTGAGATGACAAATATCCCAAATGTGCCAAACTTTGAGAGATAATACTTATCAGCAAGACAACCAAGGCTTGGATTTGCAATTCCTGCTATTACACTAGTGACAAGTGCTGCATATTGTGAATGGGGACGGGGAAGGAACAAAAACACGATAAGCAGACAGAATAAAAATCATTCCAGTCGAATGGAAGTAACGACCACGCAACCTTACCTAGAGGAAGAAAATTATTATTTGCGAAATTCGATAAAGCCTTGAACACCTCGTTTCCCGAACCCGAAACACCGATAGATTCGTTTATCCCTCCACCGTCATCTTTCTGAAACACAGTGATAGAATCTCATCTCAAAACCATTACATGCAATGAAAAGAAACGGATGCATCAGTTTCATCATTGAGAAAGATACAAACAGAGAGAGCTTAACCTTATTGGGCAATCCGCAGGCTATGATGCGCCAAGAAATTCGGCGTTTGCGATTCAAAGCAAGAGAACTGGTACGCAATAGAGTGCCATTAGAGGAGAAACGAGAAATTTGGAAATGGAAGGCAGCTGGATTGGTTCGAGGAGACGAAACGAGAAGGCTGTGGAGGGAATTGGTTCCCGCCATCGCCATGGGATTGCTGAGCAGGAGTGAACACCAAGCAGCGTTATTCTGCAACCAGAAATTCTTTTTCCGTTATATATATATATAATATTATATATGCATATATAAAATTTATTAATTTTGTCCGGCATAAATTAAATTAAATTAAATTAAATTAAATTAAATTAAATTAAATTAAATTTTTAAACATGATTTATTTTATACTACATAAATCAAAATTTGATGTCCTAAAAGAAGGTTAAAAAAAATTATTTTATGTATTAGGAGATAATGTGAATTTCTAAAAAATAAAAAAAATTTAAGATTAAATTTTTAATTTAAAAAAGTTTAGAAATTAAATTAACTAATTTTATTTATCATTTTATTGGTTATTATTACTAATTTTTATTCGTTAATATTATTAATTATTAAAGATGTTCGTGGATTTAGTAACATATTCTTTTAGCCTTTTGCAAAATCAGAGAGAAGGATGAGGGGATTAGGGAGTTTGATTGTGCGAGCTCGAAGAATTCCGGGATTGAATCCTCGAGGCGTTGGGAAGATCCGATTTGTCTCTGCTGCAGCAACTTCTTCTCTATTCCGCGGCGAAGAAGCTGCTTCCGATTCTGTATCGTCTAGAACTTGCTCTGATTCTTACTTGCGCTCCTGGAAATGGAACCGATTCGGAGGTGCGTTGAATTTGATGAACTAGCAATGGAAAAGTTTCGTATTATGTGTATATAGTCTGTTGTATTTTGTTGCATTCAGGACAGAGAAGAACAATGTTCATCGAAACTCAATCAACGCCCAATCCTTCGTCTCTCATGTTCTATCCTGGAAAGCCTGTTATGGAAGTTGGGAGTGCTGATTTTCCTAATGCGCGTTCGGCTATGAACTCCCCACTGGCGAGAGCCCTTTATGGTGTTGATGGTACGTAGTTTGAACTTATATTATTATCCTTTTGGGTTTCTGTTGGACTTTCGATTGGGCAAAGCCCTTTTCCTTTTTTTGTGTGCCTTTTTTAAGGATTTGTTAGAATGAATAAGTGAATTGTAGGAATAGAAAAGTTGCATGTGTCGCAGTCATGGTCATGTTTGTTCAAGGTGGGTTGCCCATGGTTGCATGGCCTTGTATCACTTTATTTCTTTCCTTTACTGTTTTCATGATGTAGCATTCTTATTGTATTTCTTTAAATGTATGACGATACGGTAGAATCATGTTTATATTTGGTAGACCTAGTAAACTTGAAATGCCTCATAATATACTATAGGAGGATACAACTAGTTTGTCAGTTTTTCCTACCCTAAGTTATATGCAAGTCGTGGTGTTTTCTTGTAGCCATACGTTGTTTTCTTCAGTTCTTTCAAATCTTGCTTTCAAACTCTCTTTCTAAAATCTCTCTCTACCCCTGTTTTTTAAAACTTTTTTCTCAAAGTGGGGCCAGAGATTTGAGTATACATTGTCAGGTTGAAGGTGACACAATTTTAAGTTGGTTGATTCACTTAGTGGTGAGAGTGAGTGCTGCACAATCGCTTACAAACGCCTCGTAAGAGTGCGATTGTAACACGTGGCATAATGAATAAGTGCTACGACTCAAGTTCTAGGTTATGGAGGATTCTTACAAAAAATAACTGTAAATTTAAGTTAACCAACTCTAGTTATAATTTTTTCGCTTCATTTTTCCCATATGTAAGGACATTGTTGAATTGGTAGGTTGAAGTTTCATCGGTTACAATGACTTAGTGATGGTTTACAAATATTCTCACTGATCTCATTGATGTCTGGTGTGGGGCTTACTTGTTTGCTTTGCAGGTGTTGTTCGAGTTTTCTTTGGATCAGATTTTGTTACTGTTAGAAAGTCAAATGATGCTTCTTGGGATTTCCTGAAGCCCGAAATTTTTGCTGCAATCATGGACTTCTATTCTTCGGGGCAACCACTGTTTCTAGACTCTCAAACTGCTGCTGCCATGGACACAGCTATCAATGAAGTATATCTTCTGAGTTCTTACTGCAAATTAGTGCTCTTCCTTTTTAGATTTTTACTCATTAAGAAATAAATTAATTTTATAGATCACATATTGTTGTCTGAGGATGTTTATGGTAATTTTATATTAAGTTGCTTTTTGATTGCGAACTTTGCACTTCTACGATGTTCTTTTTCCTCTCTTGCTATACTAATAGCCCATGCCCACCGCTAGTAGATATTGTCTTCTTTGGGCTTTCCCTTTCGGGCTTCCCCTCAAGGTTTTTAAAATGCGTCAGCTGGGGAGAGATTTCCACATCCTTATAAAGAAGGCTTCGTTCTCCTCCCTGTAGGATCTCACAATCCACCCCCTTTGAAGCCCAGCGTCCTCGTTGGAACTCGTTCCCTTCTCCAATCGATGTGGGACCCCCCAATCCACCCCCTTCAGAGCCTAGCGTCCTCGTTGGAACTCGTTCCCTTCTCCAATTGATGTGGGACCCCCCAATCCACCCCCTTTGGGGCCTAGCATCCTTGTTGGCACACCACCTCGTGTTCACCTCCCTTCGGGACTCAACCTCCTTGCTGACACATTGTCCAGTGTTTGGCTCTGATACCATTTGTAACAACTCAAGCCCACCCCTAGCAGATATTGTCCTTTTTGGGTTTTCCCTTCCGGGGTTCCTCTCAAGGTTTTTAAAACGCATCTGCTAAGGAGAAGTTTCACACCCTTATAAAGAATGTTTTGTTCCCCTTTCCAAGAGATGTGGGATCTTACACTACATAATGTAATACTAGGTTGGATGAGAGTTCCTTGGTGAAGCCATACTTATTTATATCACCTTAAATACTAATTATAGAAATATGAACATTTTACATCATCACACTTCAGATTCAAAGTGCTTGAGGCTTAGGTATTAATGGCACAAAGCGATGCCTTGCAGTTCTATTGAAGACTCCTGCTCCTTATTCTTATTGAACTTACTGTATTATAATCTTACTCCTTTGGATTCAACTTCAGCTAAGAACTTGATTTCTATGTCAACGTCTTCTATCAGATGTCATATTTCTTTCGTAATATTATTTTTTTGAGATTTGACCTCATGGTGTGATTGCTTGCCATACTACAAGTATTGAATCTTTCCTTAAAACATATACTTGTCATGTTGGAATTTGAAACATGATATATTCTTATAATTTAGTAATTTGATTCAACTTAGTTCATAATAGATCCGTCCACATGTGCCTACTTTTTAGGATGATTCTGAAACTGTTGCTATGATTAAAGAGCTGCTCGAGACCCGTATTCGACCAGCAGTGCAAGATGATGGTGGAGATATTGAGTACAGGGGATATGATGAGTAGGTTTTGCTGGATTCAGTTTAAGGTGTTCTGTAAAGTATCATATTGCTTATATCGATTGAACTTTGAATTTCTGTTTTCTTCAGAGAAACTGGTATTGTCAACTTAAGAATGCAAGGAGCATGCAGCGGCTGCCCAAGCTCATCTGTCACTCTAAAATCTGGCATTGAAAATATGTTGATGCATTATGTACCTGAGGTGAGGGTTATATGATCTTTTTATATTTGTAGTTACCTCACATTCAATGCAAAGCATATCCATTTTTCCGCTTGCAGCATTTCTGGCACAATTGCTCACGCATATTGATTGCTTTTGTTTGCTGATATTTATGCTGGCAGTATCTTCTATATGAATACCCACATTTAGTTGCATGATGGAAGTATTGTTGTTGAATTCACACCAGCTGGAATGGAAGGGCTTATTCTTTTTAGATAATAGGAGTGGAAGAACATTGCATCGATATAATTTAGGTTGAATCTTATTGTGATGACTAGAAAGTTGGTTTTCCACTTCTTTATCCCTCCGTTATATAGTCTTCTTCTTCTATGCACCATGTTAATTATGCACCATGTTAATAGAAAGTTATTACATGTTGTAACAGTCTAAGCCCACCGCTAGCAGATATTGTCCACTTTATCCTGTTATATATCACTATTAACCTCACGATTTTAAAACGTGTCTACTAGGAAGAGGTTTTCACACCTTTATAAGAGATGTTTCATTCCCCTCTCCAACCGATGTGGGATCTCACAATCCACCCCCTTGGGGGCTCAGAGTCCTCATTGGCACACTGCTCGGTGTCTAGCTATGATATCACTTGTAACAGCCCAAGCCCACTACTAGTAGATATTATCTAGCCTCACGGTTTTAAAACGTGTCTATTAGGGAGATGTTTTCACACCCTTATAAAAAAATGTTTTGTTCCCCTCTCCAACCGATGTGAGATCTCACAACTACTATTCATGTTTTACTATCATATGGAATGCGTATGATCTTATTGGATAACAAGAACTCATTGAGAAACAGAGAATGTTTGATAAGAAAAAGGTATTGCCCCTACAGAGCCAAGTTAGCGAATCACTTCAAGAGGAGAAATAGAAACAGAATAATGTTTCAAAGCTGCGTAGCCCAATCCTAATGTATAGATCGTTTCCTCTTTTGTTCTTATGCTTCTGAGAATTGTAGTATCTTTTTAAATGTCTATTCTGGATTTATAGGTGAAGGGCGTGGAACAAGTATTTGACATCGAGGAAGACGATGTAAAGTCAACCAGCCAGATGGAGTAAAAGGTGAGCTGGTCGATTTGTTCTTTGTTTCGTTGACCCACAACACAATCTCGAGGGTAACACGTACGAGTTGGTCGATTCCTTCTTCGTCGGGTCAAGCTACAAGCCTACAAGCTAAAAAACCATAGTTTATAGAGTTAGTGTTACTTTTATTCCTCGCTAAGAAAATAAATCTGTGAATATTGAACCGTAACTAGGATTTCATGGACTTTATTTTGGACTTGATGAACATACGATAATGTAAAGAGAGCTTCGACTGTACATTCAATATGATGTTTTGTTCTATACACTGAAATGGTGAAACGAGTTCAAATATTGCTTGTATTGTTAGCATCTCATAGGTATTGAATTTTTATTTTTGGTGACTTTATTTGATCTTTTTTTTTAATTCTCGAACAACCCAAAATCGAAAATTTAGGGTTTTATTAAACATAATTTTTAATTTTATATTTAATAGATAAATTAGTCAAAAAAAAAATGAACAAAAAGAATATCACATTACCTATTAGACATAAAATTGAAAAAATCATGAATTAGCCGGAAACGTTTAAAGAGAACAATATTATAAATGGTATTAGAGTCAACACGGAATGATGTGCCAACGAAGAGGTTGAACTCCGAAGGAGAGTGGACATGAGGTAATGTATCAGCAAATTGGGTCCCGAAGGGGGATGGATTGTGAAATCTCATCTCAGTAAGGGGGTGTGAAAACTTCTCCCTAATAGACTCGTTTTAAAATCTCAGGGGAAGGCTGACAAGGAAAGCTCAAATAAAACAATATCTACTAGCAATGAACAATTAACTTGGACGGTTACAAGTAACCTCTAATTGATATGATTTTTCAAGTTTTAGTTGTGATATAACAAAATACACGAGGGCACTGTATCTGGCCGAAGACGATCAAAAAAGCTGTAGACGAGTGTAATGGAAATCAATCAAGATTCTTCTAGGGCTATAAGGGTCTCTTTTGTATTAAATTGGTCCATAAAATATTAAGTTGGAGCTAAATGTACTAAACAGTCACTAATTTTAAGATTAAATTTCAATTTGGTCATTAATCTTTTAAATTATTAATTTTAATCACACTTTATAAAGGGCCCTCACACGAGGTATGGGCATGAGCACGTGCACGTCTACACGATACTAAAAAGAATAAATAATATATATATATATATATATATACGACTTTTGTTATTATCCTTCCGTTCTTCATTTGCAGGCAAACCCGAGCCAAGCTAGGCTATCGCATTAGCGGCTTCAATGGAGTTGCTCTTGCCCTCAGCCACCGTTAGCACATCAAATCAATTTTCATTCCATTCCTGCAAAACTCATTTCCAATCCTCCGCCATTAACATCAATTTCCGTCGATCACCAAGCAAAAGGAACAAATTCTTACTCTCTTCTTCTTATCTACACTCCACCGTTCCGCTTCGCTGTTCTGTTATAGTTAATTTAGCTTCCTCATCCACACCTTCTACTTCTTCTCTCTGGTCTCCGATCATCGGCGAAAACCGCCATTGGAGGGTCCTCATGGAGAGACCTCCATCAGGGTTTGATTCAAAGCCAGGAATCGTTGATTATTACGTTAAAGCATTGGAAAGAGTTTTGGGCAGGTGAGTGTTCGTCGTGTTTTCCAGTTTCATTGTGATTTATCCTTTCTTTTTTTTTTTTTCTGCTGATTTTTTTTTTTTTTTGAATTGTGATTATTTGTCCAGTGAAAAGGATGCTCAGATGTGTATTTATGATGCTTCCTGGGATACCGACTTTGAGTTTTGCTGCGATATTGATGAACAAACATCCATCGAGCTCGCCCGTAAGTTTCTACATATGTTGTGTCGTATGATTATGCATAGTAACTTTTAAAAAAAGTAATTCAAAGGAAAGTACTCTTTAAGAAACTTTCGAAGCAGTATTAGTAAGTTGTTCTCTTAGGATCACCTTAGAGCATTTTAGTGTTTTTAGGATTTTCAAGACCATTTCTAGGAGAGCTTTGGATAGTTATCGGTTTGGTCCGTTACGTATCGTAGCCATTCTCATAGGTTTAAAACGTGTTTGTGAGGGAGAGATTTTCATACCCTTGTAAGGAATGATTCGTTTCTCTCTTCAATCGATGTGAGATCTCACAATCCACCCCCTTGGGGGCTAGCATCCTCGCTGGCACACCGCCCGGTGTTTGACTTTGATACCATTTGTAATAGCCCAAGCCCACCACTAGCCGATATTGTCCGTTTTGGCCCGTTACGTATTGTCGTCAGCCTCACAGTTTTAAAACATGTCTATTAGGGAGAGGTTTCCACACCCTTGTAAGGAATGTTTTGTTCCCCTTTCCAACTAATGTGGGATCTCACAATGCTTGGACTGTTACAAATGGTATAGAGCTAGACACCGGGTGATATGCCAGCGAGGACGTTGGACCCCTAAGGGGGTAGATTGAGAGATCTCACATCGGTTGGAGAAGGAACAAATCATTTCTTATAAGGGTGTGGAAATCTCTCCCTAACAGACGTGTTTTAAAACCGTGAGGCTGACTACAATACGTAATACGTAATAGGCCAAAGTGGACAATATATGATAGCGGTGGGCTTATGCTGTTATAAATGATATCAGAGCCAGACACCGGACGATGTGTCAACTAAGACGCTGGCCCTCAAAGGGGTGGATTGTGAGATCCCACATCGAATGGAGAGGGGAACGAAACATTTCTTATAAGGGTGTGGAAACTTCTCCTTAGTAGAAACGTTTTAAAACCGTGAGATTGACAACAATACATAATGGACCAAAGAAGACAATATCTGGTAGTAATGGACTTGGGTTATTACAAAAAGTCATTCCAAACTCACCATTTTGGTAGATTCATTGCTTATTTCTAACGGTTGGCTTAAAAGACAAATTTAAATTCTCACCAGGCATTGCAATCATTGTTGATGTTCATTCGAGCATGTGTTACAGGAGTACCAGGGGTAATATCTGTTAAGCCAGACCCAAACTTCAGCTCCACAGAGAAGGATCATGGTTCATCAACACCTCAATTGAATCCGAAATCGGACCCTCAAAACGGTGGTAGACTCTTATTCCCTTCAGGGAAAACGAATAATTGGCTTGTTCGAATTGACAAGCCAGGTATCGGGGTGGTTACCAAGGCACAAATGGTTGATTATTATGTTGAGATATTGACTAAAGTTCTGGGGAAGTAAGTTTACTATTTTATATAACAAAAGCTGCCGCTTCATTTTGTTTATGATATTTTTTCATTGTCCTCAAGACTTGTTATGCCAATTATCTGCAGTGACAAGGATGCACAAATGTGTATATATCATATTTCCTGGCAGTTTAACTTCGGCTTTTGTTGTGAATTGGACGAGGAATGCGCACAAGAATTAACCGGTAATGTCCTGTTTCCAATGGCTATTCTAGACATTTTTCTGTATAGTTCTTTGGGTTCTTATGCAAATCTCACAATATGCAGGTGTTCCTGGTGTTTTATCTGTTCAGCTGGATGCAAACTTTGAGGCAGAGAATAAGGATTATGGCTCGAAGTTGCATGGTAAGATATGATCGTCCGTAGGATACCATATATCTCCTAGTTGAATTAATGAAAATTACCCAAAAGACACAAATGTTAGGATAAATTGTTGGTATAAACCCAATATATTTGCCAAAGCCCACCGCTAGCAAATATTGTCCGCTTTGGTCTGTTACGTCTCACTGTCAGCCTCACAGTTTTAAAACGTGTCTGGTAGGCAGAGGTTTTCACATCCTTATAAGGAATGTTTCGTTCCCCTCTCCAACCGACGTGGGATCTCACACTCACAAGAGAAGAGTGTTGTGGTAGACTTATTCCTTCACTACCTCGTGGGACGGGATAGTGTAGCTCGAGAGGATTAGTAGGATCTTTAGAGAGGTTGAGAGGCTTTTGGAGGAGGTGTGGGACATGACGAGGTTTAATGCCTCGTTATTATCGTCGAGGTATCAAACTTTTTGCAATAATTAGTTGAATCTTACTCTTTTGGATTGAAGTTCGTTGAAGACAGACTTTACTTTTTTAGATGTCTTCATACATTCTTTCATTGTTCTCAATGAAAGCTCGGTTTCTTATTTAAAAAATTATCAAGAACATTCACTAGAGTCATAATTTTATCTTCTTCATGGTGATTCCTTTGAATTAATTACTTGTATTTTTCAGGTACTGTTGCCAAGAATCCTTTGGATCTGCCAGATTCTTCAGAAACAAATCAAACTACTCCTGTGAAAACAAAGAAACTATTTATAACTGGTATTAACCTTGGCATGTTCTTCATCGCAGTGTTCGGACACTCGTCTTATTTACTATCAATCATTTCTGGACAGGTCTTTCGTTTTACACATCGGAGAAAACGTTACGTGCAGCATTTGAAGGCTTCGGTGAGCTTGTCGAAGGTATGTTGCATTGATCTCGTCGTTTAAAGTTCGAACTAGACGTTTTCTCATGAGGCAAAATCATTTTGGTTTGATGGGCAGTTAAAATAATAATGGACAAGATTTCCAAAAGGTCCAAAGGGTATGCATTTATAGAGTATACAACAGAGGAAGCTGCTGGTGCTGCACTCAAAGAGATGAATGGCAAGGTGAATAAACATGAACTCTCTCCCTTTCTCTTCGTTTCTACTCTCTCCCATCTGGTTCATGCTGCATATATATGTGTGTGTGGTTGATGTAGATCATCAATGGCTGGATGATAGTTGTCGATGTTGCCAAGCCGAGCCCTCGGAGATACGGTGGAAACCGCTCTAGACCATAGGTCGAAAAAGAGCACATATTTGTGTACTTCAACGTCGAATTTTGAGTAGTCTAGCAAAATTTGAGCCTAGAGGGATAGCTAGCCATATTTGAGTACCGATCTAAGGTGAGGGAAGGACGAACTTGGTCGCCTCGTCTATGACCGTCTTAAAAAGATTAAAATATGTCTTCTTTTTAATTTATCCTTCTAGACCTTTAGAGTGAAAATAATATATATAAAAACTAAGAAGGTAAGATTTAGTCCATTCGGTTCGACCTCCGTGATGAGACATATAAACCAAGGATGTCGGGCTTCTTGTTTCTTGTTTCTTGTTTCTTCATCTAGCTTATGTTCTTTATTTAGCATCCAGACCGACTCAAAATCGAGACTAGGCAGTGGTTGGCAGTAGCTTGCTACGGTTTATGAAATGACAATCTAAACGAACCGACCTCATTGCACCTTTTGGG